TTTTATTCAAATGAATCATCTATTTATTACCATATTTGCACTTCATCTATGAAAATTCGCTTGTTAAAGTGAAAACCTGTAGGCACTATCGAACGACCTTTCATAGTTTTTCCATCTTCCAAAGTTATACCATCATTACCTGTGCTGGTTATGCTATAACTTTAAAATTGCATAATTATATTGTAGGTTTAAGATACCTACAGAATTCTTTGAATACTTTATTGCATTCATTGTACAGTTACCGATCTTGTACTAGGATTTTGTCCAGACAGTAGACAACCTGTTGGAATCTGCGTCAATGGACAATGCGGCGATGGTTTGTTCTGTAGCGCAAGCAACGTCTGCTGCCGGAGTACAGGTACTTAACTTTGCGAATGATATTCATAATCAGTAAATGAAGCGAATCAAAATTCAAACTCTCGTTGTTTTCTTGTGAAGGTAGTCAGTGCCAAAAATACGCAATGCATTGTCAGGCTAAAGAAAGCTGCAATCGGTTTTCTTCATGATTGGCTAAAAATACATCTTTAACTGTCATGACTTTGCCAGGGGTCCTAAATTCAGCTTTTTGTTTACTTTTGGGAAGTAACTAATAAGCGCAGCATTTAGACGAAGGCGGCGGCACACCGATATGAGGTTGGCCTTTATTTCCGGAGATATTGGGTTCTAATCGAGAAAGTCAGTTCCCTTAACTGGTAATTTTTTCGAGCGAGGAATTCACTTTATTTCAGCGTGCGTTATGGAGAGCGTTTTTCTGTCATGGTCCTACCAGAACGGACAAGGCCATGCTGCCTGATGCGGGCGTCCCTGACGTTACAATTCGTCTTGATCCTCTCAGTAGCTGACCGTAAAGGGTGATAAGCAGCGCATATTGTAACCTGATGAACATTATACAGTATCTTGTAGCAAGAAAATTTATTATCACCTCATGATGATTCTAAAATTGCGTGAAACCTGAAGCAGCTGTCAGCTCATAATTCAGAGGCGATTATGAATTGAGATTACTCATACTTAGCAAAAGGCAGACCTTAAGCGCAAATTCACTCAGGGACCGTCGCGCCACGGTCCTTATTCACTTGTAAAGTAAGTCACTGTAAATAACGATGCAAGCCTTCATGTTTACTGTTCTGTAGACTAAGTACGATGGCGATTCACTGGGAGATTATTCAGCTGATTGCATTTAAACGATCCTATAAATTTTCTTCTGAGTTTCGTTTAAACTCTTCCATCACGTATATAATGGATTCTGTAATGGTAACGTTACTTATAAGTACAACGTAATCTTGAGTCACATGTAAGGTGATGAAGCGTCCGTTAAATAAAACGAGAGGCACGAATTTGTGACTTCATAGAAATTACACGATTAAACATTGACTGTTGGCCAAACAT